GGAGGCGACAAGGATGCATCCGGAACAGATGCCTAAGCCAACTCAGCAGGCTTTTTCAGGAAAGCACAAGGCTTCGATTTTAGATGGGATCCGCCCTGAGATGATCAGGATGGATCCCATCTAATACCGAATGCCTTCTGCTTTTTAATTCCATCAGTGACTCAAGTCTGGATGATAAAGGACACCAAATCTTTGTATCTTCAAGAACTAGGCATCATTAGAACTAAACATGTCAGTACAGCTATTCTATGACCTTTAGTGCAGCTTCCAATCAATATATATAAGCAAACTCAGTAAATTTAATCAGTTCACATTTGTGGATGGAGATAAAGAGCTTATCTATAGTTTCTCACCTGTTACCCCAGTAGGGGATGCCCACAGCCTGGATGATGACAAGTACCACTTGGACGAAAAACACAAAGAAGAAGAAGAAGAAGTTGAAGGAGCTGTCATTCCTACAATGAGAGGAGAAAAGAAAAAGGCTTTTAGCTCTCTGAGGACAGTGAGTTTAGACTCTTCCATCTAAAGCAGTTTGATTTACATGTAGGAAAAAAGAAACGTTACATAGACAGAGGGAGCCCTAAAAGGGTCAAGGTTCACTTTGATTTCTCAGACCATTTAGAGAGATATTATTCTATGGGCAACGAGTTGAAGGCACAAACTAAACTGTTCATCACTTATTCTTTATGGTACGCCAGCATTCAGAACATGTAGACGAATCACTGTCCCCAGTTGATGCCTCCGCTGCGGTGATCAACCTTATTTTAAAATTGGCATCATAACTCCTCCTCAAATGTCGGCAAACTTGTCTGACTCTTAATCCTTCTCTGTTGTGGTAGAAGGATGACCCCAGCCACAGTTTCCCATCTCCATGAGGTCACTGGCTTTACAAAAAAAAAACTGGCACCCTCTGCTGTTGCGTTCATGTAGCGACCACAGATAGATGTCAGTCTGTATAATTGTTAGACCCCATTATAAGACTTCCCCACATTTTCACATCTCTTTAAATGAAAATAACCTCGTCTCATATTCGGGCCAAAACGGTAATAGAATTTTAAACCTCTTTTAAAGTCGTAGGGAAGCGGCTGTTCCAACCTTTTCATTTCCGAATTCTCCCGAGTGGTGCACGACTTTATATGAGTGAATAAAGTGAATTTCATTGGTCGTTTATCAAGGGGGTGGGATTGTTGTGGAGGAAGGTTCGCAAGCAAGTTTGGTTGTGGCCGGTTTGTCGGAACCATCTTGCTAACCAGTTAGCAACTTAG